TCACAGGAATCTCATCTTTTCTCTATTGTTTTCAAAATCTTGAATCTCTGTTTTATTTATTTTATGCAAATCAATCATCCAATCAATTGTTAGGATTAGCGTCCAATCAATTGTTAGGATTAGCGCTAATAAATAAATTAGTAACTAGTGTTTGATACAACCACTTCCCTGTAGATCGATAACTCGTACTCCGAGTATTATTTGTTTCCAAATATACTATGCATCAAATTGGTGCCGTTGCCGGGGAAGTGACGTTTTAGTATTAACATTAGTGAAATCTTTATTTAAGGAGTCTAGTCCATTTTTATTTTTATTTTATTTTATTTATTTTATTTTATGTTTGCTAACCCATAACAAGTTGATGTGGATCTTCGGGGATGAACTTGAGAGTCGATTCACCAACGAGTCCTCCGGTTGCCCGATCTTTTCCTCACCAAAATAGCAGGAAAAACAATTACGGTTTGAGGGTGTTGGAGATGGAATTGGTTGATGTAGGGGCTGGATTTGGGATTATTTTTGTGTTTTCTATAAAGATATTTCCGCCACACCTTGGTCCTAGGTGATAAGGAATGGATGGCACCACAAGATTGGTATTATCTTGATAAGCCTAGAATAACATCTCTCAACACACAAGAGAGAAAACAAAATGCCTTAGCATTTCTTTCGTTCAACTTCATTCATCTCTCCTTCTCTAAAATTCTGATTGTGTTTAGCCTTTATATAGGCTAATACATAACTTTCAAAGGGAAAACAAAGAGTTAAGAGTCTCCTAATATTAAATTTAACATAAATGCATTTTAAATAACTTAAATAACTACATGACTTCATTTCAATGATGACTATTTTCAATGAGCCTTCTAGGACCTTCTTCATAATATTTGGACCAACATAATGATCTTTTAAATTGTTGTAGTCATGACCTCATCATTCCCTCACTCTTCGAGAAAATTCGTCCTAGAATCAAACTTGCCTCGGTCAAATGGAAATGAGTAAATTTCCCAACGTATGAATTGAATGTCTGCATCAATGAAAGTGAGTGATCCCATGTTTCCTTGAACTTGGCACAACATTACCACAAATGCATTTAACTTTTGATGTCCCTTTGCCATGCTTCCAAACCTATTCTCAATCCTTGAATTACATTCATGAACATGCAATAAACTTGAAACAAATGGAAATGATTGAACCAACTGCAATTATACCAACTGCAATTACCAAGAACATTCCCTCACTCTTTGAGATGATTCGAGGTTGTCTTTTCTTCTCCCATGGTAGCCACGAAATTTGGGGCCTTTCAAATGATTTTTCCCACTTGTTTTTAGGCCAACATGATATTCCAATTCAACACAATCAGCATGGTAAATTCTTTTGCCTTCTCCCCTTTTTATTTAAATTAACTTGCATTAATTAAGACAATTAGAACTCTAGATGGTATTTATTGTTGTGGGATGTGTCTTCATCATTGAAATGAAGGGAGACCTTTTGTGGCCTTTTGTTTGGCTACAACAATTTAAAAGATCATTATGTTGGTCCAAATATTATGAAGAAGAAGGTCCTAGAAGGCTCATTGAAAATAGTCATCATTGAAATGAAGTTATGTAGTTATTTAAGTTATTTAAAATGCATTTATGTTAAATTTAATACTAGGAGACTCTTAACTCTTTGTTTTCCCTTTGAAAGTTATGTATTAGCCTATATAAAGGGTAAACACAATCAGAATTTTAGAGAAGGAGAGATGAATGAAGTTGAACGAAAGAAATGCTAAGGCATTTTGTTTTCTCTCTTGTGTGTTGAGAGATGTTATTCTAGGCTTATCAAGATAATACCAATCTTGTGGTGCCATCCATTCCTTATCACCTAGGACCAAGGTGTGGCGGAAATATCTTTATAGAAAACACAAAAATAATCCCAAATCCAGCCCCTACATCAACCAATTCCATCTCCAACACCCTCAAACCGTAATTGTTGTTCCTGCTGTTTTGGTGAGGAAAAGATCGGGCAACCGGAGGACTCTTTGGTGAATCGACTCTCAAGTTCATCCCCGAAGATCCACATCAGTTTGGTATCAGAGCTTTTGGTTCATTCCTCACACAAAAAAGGTTAACACTCTACCAATCAATTCTTGTTTCATTTGTTTCTGTAGAAAATTTTCAGCCTGTGTCTTCAGAAAGAAAAATTCCAAAAAAATACTTCCACATATCCAATTGTGTTGAAATTTTTTCTGGAAGTACCCAACCTATCACTCTATTGCTTCATGACATTTTTGTGCAAAAATAATTTTCCTAGAAACACAGAAAAATCGCTGAATTCAACACAACTGTAAGATTCTGCCCAGAAATTTTCTTCCTGTCCAGTCCAGAAGAAAATTTTGGAAAAAATACTTCCACATATCTTTTTGCCCTGAAAATTTTTATGGTTGAATAAACCCATATTTCTTGCTAACTATAAAAAATTTGGGTCAAAATATCATCCATAACATTCCATAAAATTCATCAAAGTCACTCTTAAAATTTGTCCAGATTTGTGTTGCCATCCCTTGTGTTTTCTAGTTCTTGTTCATTGTTTCACATCATCTATGGAGTCTTTTGAGTTAAATACACTTCAACAAGGATCACTTAGTGTGGAAGAATTCTATAATAAGTTAAGAGATTTGTTGATCCGTGATGTGGTGATTGAACCAGCTGTTATTACAAAGAACAGATTTGTGTATGGTGTTAGAAAAGAAATTGCACGGTTGCTTCCTCATCGGTGCAAGTGCATGTTTACTTTACTATACCATGCCAAACAAATTGAAGAGAAATTGCAGCAAAAAGAGGTCGAGAATTCGATACCTTTTTCTTTGTCATACGAGGAGGGCTCAAAAGAAATGAATGAGAATGTAAATATGTGTGAACAAAAATGTGAAAACAAAGATGAGGAATATTTGAGTGAAAAATGAGAGATTGAGAAAAAAAACTGAAGATGAGGAAGAAGAATTGTCTTATGAGCTCTGTGAGAAAAAGAATGAGGAAGAAGATTTTGAGAACTCCATAACCTTTATTTTAAGTTCTTTGTAGATTAATGGATGTGATTCAAGGGTTGAAAATCAGTTGGAAGGAATGGTTTTGTTGTGCCATGATCTACAAATGGTGAGATCACTCACTCTCTTTGGTGACGGCATTAAAGTCATATGGTCAGATAATTACTCATTTCCATTTGACAGAGGAAAGTGTGATTCGAGGACGAATCATCTCAAAGAGTGAGGGAATGATGAGGACACATCCCACAACAATAAATACCATCTAGAGTTCTAATTGTCTTAATTAATGCAAGTTAATTTAAATAAAAAGGGGAGAAGGCAAAAGAATTTACCATGCTGATTGTGTTGAATTGGAATATCATGTTGGCCTAAAAACAAGTGGGAAAAATCATTTGAAAGGTCCCAAATTTCGTGGCTACCAAGGGAGAAGAAAAGACAACCTCAAATCAACTCAACATGGACAAATTATGGCTCATTTACTTTCTTTTAATGTTTAGAGTGACTCTTGGTATGTTTTAGACTCTTGGTATTTCATTTCAGTCAATAGTGGAGTGTTAGAAAGTGATGTACATGCCTATATAAAGGCTAAACACAATCAGAATTAGAGATAGAGATGAATGAAGTTGAACGAAAGAAATGCTAAGGCATTTTGTTTTCTCTCTCTTGTGTGTTGAGAGATGTTATTCTAGGCTTATCAAGATAATACCAATCGTGTGGTGCCATCCATTCCTTATCACCTAGGACCAAGGTGTGGCGGAAATATCTTTATAGAAAACACAAAAATAATCCCAAATCCAGCCCCTACATCAACCAATTCCATCTCCAACACCCTCAAACCGTAATTGTTGTTCATGCTGTTTTGGTGAGGAAAAGATCGGGCAACCGGAGGACTCTTTGGTGAATCGACTCTCAAGTTCATCCCCGAAGATCCACATCACAAGTTCTTTGTTCTTGAGTGTGATTTTGCTTTGAATCTAAGAACTTTGCTTTGTATGCGTACACGATCTTTTGGGAAAGAAGGATTATTACCTTTGAACCTTGAGATTGAGAAAAGAGCCAAGTTTCTTAGAAAACAAACTAGGATGGCATATGTACAAGAAAACCAAGTTGAAGAGAGATCAATGCCTGACTACCTTGCTCCGGATGTTGAGGAGCATGGTAGCATCAATATTCCAAATGTGGAGGCCAACAACTTTGCGATCAATCCGGCCATACTCAGCATGGCTGCGACGGATCGCTTTGGAGGTACACCCACAGAGGATCCCAATGCTCACATCACCAAGTTCCTACGACTTTGTGGCACCTTCAAGATGAATGGAGTCACTCGAGATGCTATCAGACTTAGGCTTTTCCCCTTCACACTAAAGGACAGGGCTGAGGATTGGTTATCCTCACAGCCAGATAACCATTTTGACACTTGGGAAAAATTACATGGAGAATTTTTGAAGAAGTTCTATCCTACCTCCAAGACTCAAAGGATGAGAAGGGAAATTCAAAACTTTAAGCAACTGGCAACTGAGTCCCTCACTGAGTCTTGGGAGAGATTTAAGGAATTGAAGAGGCAATGTCCACACCATGGGTTTCAAAGTTGGGATTTGATGATGTATTTCTGTGAAGGATTGCTTGATAATTTCAGGATTTTGGTAGATGCTTCTTCGGGTGGTTTGTTCACAATTCTAGAGCCAACAAAAGCCGAGGAACTATTGGAGAAAATTGCTATGAATGGATCTACTTGGTACACGGAGAAGTCTCCACAAAAGCTTGTAGGAGGAATTCATGAGGCGGGGCAATTAACCGATTTGTCAACAAAGTTCGATAATGTGGTTTCCATGGTTCAAAAGCTTGCCCAAATCACCATCCAAAACACAATGTGAGTCATGTTTCTAACCCTCCTATTCTTGGTCAAGTTTTGATGTGTGAACTTTGTGGTGGTGGACATAAGTCAGGGGATTGTCTCGACGAGTTAAATTCACAAACCTCTATGGAGAAAATCAATATGGTGGGATATAATAGGCATCATCAACAGTCTTTCCAACCTCAAGGGACCTACCATCCTAATAATTCAAGGAACCACCCTGATTTTTCATGGAGTAACCCAATGGGGGCTGCCAATCCTCAACACTTTGTTAATAGAGGCCCTCCAGGTTCTCAAGGTACTCAAGTTTAATCTCAATTCCCCGCTTCGGAGGCCCCACCACAATCAAATTTGGAAGCTACGATGGATAAACTATTTAAGTTACATTTGCAAAGTGATGAGAGGGTTAGGCAATTAACGGAAAGGATGGATCAATTGAGTGCCCATAGCAAGATGCTAGAAAAACAACTTGACAATCAAGCTTCTACATCTAGCACTATAGTCACAGGGAAGTTGCCAGCTAGTACTGAAAATTCCAGGGAACATGTGATATGAATCTAGTCCAAGATTCAAAGAAGATGGAGTATTGTCCCAAGAATGCTCTCAAGTAAAGATAGAGATGGATCAAAATACCTTAAACCTCACGAGAAACCCTTTGTCTCGAATCCTTAAAGACTTGGAAGAATCCCATTGTAGCTTCAAGTATCTCGATGATGCAATCTTCAATCAACTAGAGTCGGATCTAGTTTCCTTCGATTCAAGAACGAGTCCACGAACCTAAATCTAAGGTTGAAGAAAGGAAGATTGATTCGAGTCCACAAATCAATTTGCTAGTCGAGTCCACGACTAGCCACTAATTGATTTGGAAGGCCATGGCAACATGATAGACATTTTTATTATAATGCACTCAACAACACATGCCATGTCACCTATAATAGATTTATACATGTGCTTAAGCCTCTACTTCCAAAACAAGTAGAAGAAATTCAACTGAGATCGAAGCAAGCTCTCAAACCAGACTTGAAGAAAGAAGAAATCAAAGAGAGCAAACTGGAACCTTCACGTTTAGAATTGCAGTCACCACTCCAGTCCTCTAACTTAGATTGTAGCCAAACAAAGGAACCGCTATCAGTAGTACAGTGGAAAGAACCAGCCAGAGCTATCAAAGTGCAGCCTCGCTTCTTAACAAAAAAGGATAATAAGCAAGAGAAAAGAAGGGGAGTAACTATTTACTCACTTTTATTTCAAAAGCATGCATTAAAATTCTCTAGATTTGTTTGCCATGTTTCTATTAATGACCTACTTGCTAGATGTGTTAGAAATTTGTTTGCCTCCATACATCCAAGACTCCTTAATTTTGATTTTACTAAAACTTTATTTGATAGTGATAAGGAATCACTTGGAAGTTATAAGGCACATTTGAAAAATTCTTATGGCAAATACTACTTGCACAAGGGGTTTTGGTTCAAAGTCAATGGGATTGGCACTTTTTGCTTTGTTTTGGGCAATGACTTAATTGTTGATTCACATAAGGGACATTTTGATTTTTCAAAGAGTGGTGATGTTTTGCATGGATATTTTCATTGGCCAAAGAAGAAAAAAGATGTAGAATCTTATGTTCAGAATTGTGCTACTTACCACCATAATACATCCAAATCATTACTTGATATTTCCATGAATTTTCTGTTTAATTTTACCTTAAGCTCTAGGAGGAAAGATTTTGTGCTTGTTGACAATTCAAACAAGATGACTAAATTTAATATGTCTCATTTTGTTGAATTATTACCATCCAGAATGTTTAAATTCCATAATGTGTCATTAGACTTAATTGCCTTGTTGATTGTAGGATGGTGATTGGAGCGACTCGTGTCAAGCATCCCAAGAAAAAGCTTCATGACCGTGATAAAACAGAGAGTAAGCTTGCTACTTTGTCTTTCATTGAAGATTTGGATTCGAGGACGAATCCTTTTCAAGAATGGGAGAATAATAGGAACCAGTACACATAGAATCCAGTAAGGGTAAATAGTGGGCTCATCACAAGGCCCATAACTACATCCTTAAAGCATCAATGGTGGAAGAAACAAGAAAGTCCAATAAAAATTCCATTCGGTAGAGGAAAAAATTATAAGTGGCCCGTTTCAAGTGACGTCACAGATCGAAGACAATGTATAGAAGATTCGAGGTCGAATCATTTTTCAAGAAGGGGAGGATGATGCGGCCCAACATAATGAAGATCCATTAAGAGTACAAATTTGGCCAATCACAAGATCCAAGGCCCAAATCAGCTTTATTATTTGTGGTCATCATTATTTTAAATTGTTTGGAATTAAAGAGAAAACACTAGTTTGTATTTAGAAAGGATTCCTTAAATACCTTTCTAAATAGGACTATATTTAGTTGCTTTCTATATTAGGTTTAGGACTCTTTTTGTATTTAGAAAAGGATTCCTTACATCCCTTTCTAAATAGGACTATATTTACTTGCTTTCTAGATTAGGTTTAGGACTCTTTTCTCCATTGTATTTAGGATTACAATGCTGACCTATACCTATAAATAGGGCACATCCATATCAGTTTGAAGGAGACTTTAATTCAATAAAATTCTTAAGTTTTTCTTTACACTTGTGTAAGAAACCTTATGGATAATTGTGGACTCAATTAGTGGCTAGTCGTGGACTCGAATAGCAAATTGATTCGTGGACTTGAATCAATCTTACTTTCTTCAACCTTAGATTTAGGTTCGTGGACTCGTTCTTGAATCAAAGGAAACTAGATCCGACTCTAGTTGATTGAAGATTGCATCATCGATGTACTTGAAGCTACAATGGGATTCTTCTAAGTCTTTGAGGATTCGAGACAAAGGGTTTCTCGTGAGGTTTAAGGTATTTTGATCCATCTCTATCTTTGCATTGAGAGTAATCTTGAGACAATATTCCATCTTTATTTGAACCTTGGACTAGGTTCATATCAACATGTCAATGCAATTGTCACTAGGAGTGGCAAGGTTCTTGAAGAGCCATCTCCCCCTATCAAAGCATCAATTCCAACTAGAACTGTTGAAGAGGAAATAGAAAGGATACTTGACAGAGATGAGGATGAGCCAATTGTTGAGAAAAATAACCCACAAGTCATCGATAAAGGAAAGAAGATCGTACGAAGGTATGAAAATCCCTTGCCCTTTCCTCTACAAGAAACAAAGAAAAGTAGATGGAAGAAATTTTTAGAAATAGTTGAAAATTTGAAAGTTTCTGTCCCTTTACTTGATTTGCTCTCCCAAGTCCCCTCCTATGGAAAATTCTTGAAAGAAATACTTGCTAAAAAGAGAAAATATGGGGAACATGAGATGATTGCAATGGCACAAGAATATAGGGCCTTGACACCCGGAGTTGGAAGAAGAGTGACCAAATATAAAGATCTGCGGAAGTTCACAATTCCTTGTATTGTTGGAGGTCGTCCTATAAAAGGATCCCTTTGTGATCTTGGAGCCAGTGTCAGTGTCATGCCTCTTTCACTTTGTATGAAGGTGAATTTGGGTAAGCCAAAACCAATCAACCTCACATTGTGCATGGCGGATCAGTCTACTTCAACCATTGTTGGTATACTTGAAGATGTCCCTGTTTGTGCGGATAAATATTTTGTCCCCGTTAATTTTATTGTAATAGATGCTCAAGAAAATCCAGAAATTCCACTCATCTTGGGGAGACCTTTCTTGGTCACAACCGGAGCATTAATTGATGCTAGAAAGGGAACGATGATTTTTCATTTTGGAGAAGATAAAGTTGAATTCAATGCCTTCGAGGAGAAAAGTTCATGCAACATGGTTCATATAATGAAGTGGGATGAAGACAACCCTGAAAATCAACCGGGCTAAGCACTCCATAACCAGGTTACGTCGAGCTAACGACGCTAAACTTAACGCTTCATGGGAGGCACCCCATGTTATCTTTTATTGCTTTCATATTTATTGCTTTCTAGTTTAGTTTTATTGCTTTCTAGTTTCGTATTATTTTAGTTTTTTTTTTTTGCTTTTTAGTTCGTTTTTTTTTTTTTTTTTGCTTTTTCTTTTCTCTTGTTCTCCTTTTCTTTTGTTTTGCATCAGGGACGATGCAAATTTTTAAGTGTGGGGGAGGAGTCATTAATTTGGGGATATTTTCTAAAAAATTTAATTTTTTTTTTGCTTTTGCTTGGATGACTCTTATGCTATTTTCTAGTGAATAAGTTACTTGTCTCAGCATGCAATTGCAATTACTCTCTCTTGTTGATTTGTGGTTTGTTTTAGTGGTACTTGTTGCAATTCAATTTGTGATTGATGATTTGAGGTGTAATACATAATTGATCTATTCCCTTGCCAATAGCTTTGTTAAACACTTAATAATTGGATTAATTCTTGATCTTGTGTGTTATGCATTGCTAGTGAAGGCTTATGTGAGATTCCGGCCATGGGTGTTCTGCTAGAACTTGCCTCGTTACTCCATAAGTAATGTCTAAATTTTGCATGTTTTGAACTGATTTAGGCCATTTTTGTTTAGCCATAGCCTTTAAACCTGTCCCTACATATGTTTTATCCTTTGTGTCCGCTTTGTGCCTTTTGTTTGTTTAAATAAGAGCTAAGCACTTATCCCCTCTTTGTGATTGTTTTTCTTTGATTTACCCCATTATTATAACCTTTAGCCCTTGGCCAAATATTTCCCTTCCACCCTTGAGAGAATGGAACTTTTATCTTTATTATTTCTGTAAGAAGAGTTTTTATGGAGTTGTGCCAAAAAAGCAGCTAATGTTACAAATGTTCAAGTGTGGGGGTCATGAAAGTTTGGATTAAAATTATCTTGCTATATCCAAAAGAAATCCAAAGAAAGGAATCATGGAAAAGAAGAGAAAATAAATATTAAAGAATCGAAAAAAAAAAGAAAAGAATGAAAAAGAAAGAAAGATTGAAAGTTTTTGAGTTTGGACCCCCACTTTACCAAAGAGTTGCTGAGTTCTTAAAAGAAATTTGCTCCTTGAAATTATGATTATCTCATCTCTTCCAAATTTTGAAAAGTTTAGATAAATTGTGACATTCTCTCTTTTTGATTAATTTTTCCATACCACTTCTTTGTTAGCCATCACCCGTAGCCCCATTACAAGCTAAATAAAGTCCTAGTTGATCTTAACATGCATTCTTAGATTTGATCTAGGGGAGTATGAAGGGCAAGCCTATGGGATCTCATTCGTTAGACATGTCTTGCATAATCTCATCTGAGTACTTGTGCACACTTGATCCTCACATACTTTAAATTCTTGGTGCTTGGTTATTGGCTTGAGAATGGGTCTTATGTGCCAAACTAATTTGATTCTTGAAGCTTATTATTTTGTAGCAAGTTGGTTGGTGGTTTGAAAGGTTGTGCAAGAGAGAGTATGAGTAATTTGTATGTTTTGACTTGTGATTTATTTCTTGGTTTTGCTTGAGGACAAACAAATGCTTAAGTGTGGAGGGATATCAGTCCTCGTTCGTGCGTTCGCCTTGGCTTAGCTTTTCCAGCCTTTTTACCACATTTTGTGTCCTAAAATGTCCAAAAACACATAAAATATAATTAGAAAGGTCTTTCCTATCACTTTCGTGCTTTTAAGGTAATTTACTCTATAAATAAGACTTTTTTGGTAAGAACACACATGCAAAACCTAAGAAAAGCTCACATAATTTTAGCATGTTTTGAGACTTATCACACATGAACTCTAGAAGAGTGATACAATATTTGTCTAGAAGATTTTCAGCAAATATATACCTACAAAATATCCATAAGACTGATATGCGTAGGTAAAGAAAATTATTATATTTAGGGGAACAAAAAAAATATAAACTATAAATAAATTCATTGGTCCAGATGATCATGAGAAAATATGATAAATTCTAGTGACAATCCTGAAGATTGTACCATATCACTTCTCTACACCCTTTTGAAACAATGATTTTACTTTAAAGCAATGCAGAATTTGAAGATTGTTATCTTCAGGGGGAGACGAGAAGTACATTCACTCGAGTCAATCTTGTAGATTGGGTCTTAAAAAGACTAGTAGTTGCACTTTTTTGCAGTGTATACATTCACTTGAGTCAATCCTGTAGATTGGGTCTTAATTAAAAGGACTAATAGTTGTACTATTTGCAGCATATACATACCATGTACTCTTTTCCTCGCTAGGTTTTTCTCAATGGGTTTTTCTAGTGTGGTTTTTAACGAGGTATGAGTATGATATATTAATGGGGGGAGTTGTATATAAATATTTAAATAGATAAATCCCAAAATCCTGAAGATTATGCCTTGAAGGCTTATCGTTGTACTTTTTTTTTCCTTAACTAAGTTTTTCCCACGAGGTTTTCTTAAGTTAAGATTTTTTAATTAGGCAACCAGTACAATATATGATTTTACAAATATCAAGTACTCTTTTCTTCAACTATGTTTTTTGCCACGTGGTTTTCCTAGTGAAGTTTTTAACGAGGCATGAATGTATTTAATTATTCTACACATATAATTTGTACTCTTTTCTTGTCTAGGTTTTTCCAACAGGGTTTTCCTAGCAAGTTTTTAATGAGGCAAGATTATGGTTATATAATGTCCAAGGGGAGTGTTATAAATTATTTTAATATGGACATTATGACCGTTTATGGTGATTGTTCCTTTATTATTATATTATAAATATGTAAGGATGGATTGAATAAAGATTATCTGGTGATTTCTCCTGTCGCTAATTTTCTCTCTTCTCTGCATTATCAATTTCATGTCCATAATGGTCAACGGGCACAACAAATCACAATAGTTTTTACATATGAAGAAACAATATTTATTAACTTATTATACCTTTTATATCATAAAATGCCAATTCAATTTTTGAAATTGCCCAAGTTAATACGTTATATTGAAAAATATATTGACTATCGTAATTTAGTTTTGTATTCCTCCATAAAATTTGTACATGGCTTATCAAGTTAATAGATTATTTTGGGATCTTGATATACATTAATTACCCCATGTCTACATTACTCCTAACTACAATGCTGGAGAAGGAGACCAAATGGTCGCCTTTTCTACGGAGAAGGTGACCCCTTGGTCACCTTCTCTTTCATGGTCGCCGGTCACTTTTTTGCCTGAAATTTTTACCGGAGGGTCGACATATTTCTAATGACCTGTGATAGTAGGTCATTTACTGGTTTTTGGACTTTATTGCATCAAAATAAATTGTTGATAGGTGTAATTGCACCTTTAAAATGTTGAGGGGGCAAATTGACTTTTTAGCTAAAGTTTGAAGGTCTATTTGGCCATTTTCCCTTATTAGTATCATTGTGTATAAGCATTTTATCTTTATATTCATTATTCCTTGTCATTCTAACCCAACTAAATAACATAATATTTCCAGTAATTTATTTTTCATCAACCAAACAATAGAATCAATCTTTTTATAATTTTTTTTTCATGGAATTTGAATTCAATTTCCACTCAAATATTTCCCGCAAATCCAGCAAGGCATTGTATTAATTGTTATTAGTGAGTGTGTTTTGTTGACTATGGTAAAAATTTATTTTTGAGAATTTGGCACTGGTTCCCTTCGGCTTCCATAACCCTTCATATTCTTAAAATTAAATAATTAATAATATTAATATTATATTTCTTTTTTTTTTTTGAAAATAAATAAGCTCATTGATTTAATCATAAGCTGAAGCTTTTGCAAATAGGATCGATGGAACGGTATACCATTCCTTACAGTCAGACATAGAAATAACTTACTTAGCAATGCTACAAAGAACTTAATCGCAGACTGTTTTACAAATTTGAAGCTGAATTCGTTAGATGAATTTAACGCTTCTTTAATATCACTGAAGAATTGATCAAACATAGTCAAGACTAACTTCGGTTGAAAAGTCTTACACACCACCTGAGCATATGTTTTCCATCTGTCGTTCATTGACAATATATCTATCGACTGAGATGCAGATGCTCTTTTACATTGTCATCTTTGTCACCCAGGATGAAGTTCAGATACGCCATGACCAACTTATATGTTTCACACTTATGAAAAACAGAACTCGCTAAACGAAACGAGAGGAAAACAAACATAGAACACAAAAGAAAAGAAAAGCAGCATGATCGGGACATTCTTTCATTTACGGTTCTCATTTATAAAGCGTCGTCAAAAGATTAGGTGTGCATGGATCGTGTAAGGATGTAAGGTGTAGATGGGATAAAACAGGGAGTGAGAACCACCCCGAGTGTCGTACTCTAAGGAGTGATAAATTGAAAGTGTTGAGTGAGTGATATGGTGAGGATTTTTGAGCTTCTAGATTCTTGGTCAAGATGTTGCATTATTAAGTTGAGACGGATGAAGATACCGGATAAAAGAAATTTAACAAAAGTGAAAACAAATGAAAAGAAAAACAGGCTCGGATTTTGTACCGATAGTATTGTGTAACTAGCTATGCCAAGGGTTTAGTGTCGGATCGATGTAGTGTCGGATCGATGTTGTGACATGGGTCAAGAGAGATGGGTGATAAAGCGTAGCCAATTCGGTCTATACACCTCCCGTAGGTAGATATGACACCCAAGTGCTCATTTCTTCTACGAGGCAAATAAGCAAACACCTTGCCAACACCTCTTTCTGGGCCTAACCTCTCCGATCTAGAACGGGAAATGCAAGGGGAAGGAGGCTAGGATTATCTCTCAATCTCTTGACAACATAAACCTTACTAAATCTACAAGCGTGTGGTGCACTCACAATCAAGAGTCATTACAAACATTCATCTTACAACAAGACATTTAAGCCAACAACAATCAAACCGACAAGAATATCACAAATCAAATCAAGCTAAATCATCACAAATACAATTTACACAACAATCCT